CCAAGTTGATATAGGAAATCACTCCAACATTTCAAGCACACAAATGCCCCTTTTCAAGGATACCTACTTCCATAATATGCCTGCAGATTTAAGTGGTTGTAAGGTCTGAAGGTTTTTTTACCTTAAAGTAAATCTATGCATTAAGGTAAAAGACCTTCTGGGTGCAGCTTGCCCCCAGTCCCCCCCTAAATACCTTCCTGAGCCCAATTTCAATCTAGTGCTGTGCATGAGAGCAGTGATTCTCTAGGCCAGGGGCAGGCAACCTTTCAGAGGTCTACCAGAACAACATGGAGGAAATCAAAGATCCCCGTGGGAAGGGGGGCGCACCGTTTAAAAAAAATATAACTATCAAGCCCCCAGTAAAAACACAGCATAGTGTCCTGTTCCCCTACAGTAGTGTTCTCCGCTCCCCTTCATATCATTCCCCCCCCCACCCAAGTAGCGCCCTTTGCCCCCCACAGTAGTTTACCTCCCTCCTCCCCCTCAGTGGTGTTGTCTGCCCCTCCCATTGCAGTGTCCTCTGCCCCCTTCAAACCCCCTCACTGCAGTGTACTCTGCCGCCCCCCCCCCAAAGCAGTGTCCCCAGTCCTCTACACACCCCATTCCCCATTGTAGTATCCTCTGCCCCCATCCCCAAAGCAGCAGAGTTCTCTGCCACCATTCACACCCTTACCCCCACACTCTAGTGTCCTCTGCTCCCCCATAGCAGTGTCCTCTGTCCCCTTCTTATTCCCCCCTCCCACTGCAGTGTCCTCTGTCCCCTTCATACTCCCCCCCCCCCCCCCCCCCCCCCCCCCCCCCCCCACACTGTAGTGTCCTCTGTTCCCCCACTGCAGTGTCCTCTCTTCCCTTCATGCCCCCCCCCACTGTAGTGTTCTCTGCTCCCCCACTGCAGTGTCCTCTGTCCCCTTCATCCTTCCCCCCCCCCCCCCAACTGTAGTGTCCTTTGTTCCCCCACTGCAGTGTCCTCTGTTCCCTTCATACCCCCCCCTCACATTGTAGTGTCCTCTGCTCCCCCACTGCAGCGTCCTCTGTCCCCTTTATACAACCCCCCCACCACCAGTGTAGTGTCCTCTGTCCCCATTCACACCCCTCCCCTCACACTGTAGTGTCCTCTGCTCCCCCGCTGCAGCGTCCTCTGTCCCCTTCCTACCCCCCCCCCCCCACCATACACACACTGTAGTGTCCTCTGTCCCCTTCATACTCCCCCCTCACACTGTAGTGTCCTCTGCTCCTCCACTGCAATGTCCTCTGTCCCCTTCATACTCCTCCCCCCCTCCACACTGTAGTGTCCTCTGTCCCCCCCATCACCCCCTCCCCACCATCTGTAGGTAGAACTCTTGTACCTTACACAGGTGTACAGGAGAGTGGGAAGTATCACAGGACTGGATAGAGGGTGGGGGCAGGATCTGCCAGAATTAATTTTTCACATGAACAAGCTGGTGATTGGTTGCTAGGACCACCCAACAACCAATCACTTTCTAGTTAACTCCAGCAGCTCCCGTCCACACCCTCAATACATTATTGTGACACTTCCTGATCTCCACTTTGCAGTGAAGAACAGAGCACCGAAGGCTCGGGGAAGGACCAGCAATGCAGGGCTCTGTTCCTGATCTATCCATCAGCTGCCCACGGTTGACGGGTAGATTGTGATTGCCGACTCCTCTCTAGGCTCTCTCCCTCCTCCCTGGATCAAAGACAGCAGTGGGAGTCACTGGCTCCTGCTACTGTCAATCACAGCCAGTGACGAAAGAGGGGGGTGGGATCAAGCAGTGCTCTGTGTGTCAATGGACATACAGAGTCAGCTTGGGAGTGAGCCTGCACAAATGCCCTCATAGCGAACAGCTTTCTATGAGGTCACTCAGCAGAGGGAGTAGCCAGAAGCGCAAGTGGGGGACCAGATGAGAGGAGGATTGGGGTTGATCTGTTCAAAACCATTGCACAGCGCAGGTAAGTATAACTTGTTTGTAAACCTAGAAATATTTTTGCTTTAAAGTAACAATCACTATAGAAGCAAAGAAACGTTGGCTGCCCAGGGTGGCATGTGACATCATGGGTGGCACGGTACTCTTTGTGTCGTTTGCAATGTGTACAGCTGGAAATGTGGCAGCTGGATAGACCTATAGGGCTCCAGCATGTCAGTAACAACAATACAAACACTGGAAAAAAGGCACTTTAAAAGAGGTTTGACCCCCCCTATGGTCTAGCTCTTCTGACCAATGTGATTGGTGCCTACCATGCTCGGGCACAGTTCACCGTACAGTGCCCTGTTCTTCTTAAAGCTGTGGACTTGGATTACTGTGAGGCAGAAACATTATCGAAAGTATGCTGAAGGCCAACACAGGTCACCAGGAAGGAGGACAATAGTGATTGGGCATGGTACATAGCAAAGTGCCTAGTGTAAGTAAGCCCCAAAGAGGGCTTATATCTATATCTTTTAATTTTGCGTAGTGTGGTGTGTCCCTGATGGGGAGATTTACTTTACTTATTTTTCCTGGTGACCAAAAACCATGGACAGTTCCAAGACAGGAGGAAGAAGGAATGCAGAGTTGCAGTGAGATGTATTGGAAATCCAATTACTGGTATATTTATCTTCACAGTGCAATTGTTTCTGCTCAACCTGTTGCATTGTTTTTCTATCTTGCGAGGCCACCCATAAGGCTAGGTTCACATTAGCCCACACAGTGAGGGCTTGTTGTGGGTGCAGGAATCAATGTGATTTCCGCACCTGGAACTACCTACAGCCACATTGTGCTTCTCTTGCGTGATGCGGGGGGGGTGGTGCCATTCATTCTGAATGGCACCCCCATGCATCTCATCCAGCAGCGCAATCACAAGTGCGGTAACTGTATGGAAAGACCATGTGGTTTCTGTGTGGTGCGTTTCAGAAAACGTGCATGCACCTTTTCCTTGCGTGAAACTCGGGGCACAGCAGCCCATTCAAATGTGAACCGCACTAGTGTAAACCGGGCCTAAGGTGAGTTCTGGTTCATATTAAGGGACTCTTAATATGTTCTTGCTACAACTACACTTCATCCCTAGAGGTTTTTGCCTAATCTAAGTGAATGCTGATTTTTCTAACCTTAGCTAAAACGTTGACTCTGACTATTGGGTGCTGGTTCTGACCTGGTTCTGGTATGTCCTCCACCACAGATTCAGTCCTTTCATCAACCATGAAAGGGTGCTTGGGGAATCTCATTTGCTACTGACGTTCTTCAAGTGTTCTTAGACCCTACACATAGAAACATAAAGACACTCTTGGACAGTTTCCGCGAATAGGCTCAATTCAATAGGCTAAAACGTCAGGGAAATTTAATTTTAAATAATGAGAGTTTTTGAAGCTGAGTCATTAAGAACGGAAAATTACAGCTGAATGACAAAAGAAAAGATCCATATCCCTGTGTTAAAGCTTTGTGAATTGAGTCCAAAATAAAAACACCATCACATTGTAACCTCAATGACATAATGACATGCTCTTCACAAGTTTGCAGGTTTCCTGTTCATGATTACTTTCAGAATGAACATAAATTTAAAAAAAAAAAAAAAAAAAAAAAAAAAAAATTTGGTTATGTCCCTATTTTCTGTAGATCACTTATCTTTACCTAACTTTGTATACTGATATCTTTAAGCGCAATATCCTAATAACCAAAAAAATGAGATGTATAACAATACAGTATAATTAATAATAATATCCAGAAGTATTTTGCTGCTGAGTTAATATTTCTTCTATGTTTAGATTTTAAAAAAAAAATATATATATCTTCTATTTATTTTTGAAGCTCCAAAATATTACAATGTACTTCACACATTAAAGAGAGATGGAGAATATCATGCAGTGCATGTAGATCTGTCCGATCTGAAAATGATGCCAATACAGTCAAATACGATGCATGCATTTTTACATATAAACATTAGTATCCATTTATATATAGTAATAGTTACATAGTTAGTCTGGCTGAAAAAAGACAAAAATCCAGCCAGTTCAACCATTAAAAAAAAAAAAAGTTATTATATTCTTCTGGATCAACTGTGGGTATAGGATTATATTATATTAGATACATATGCCTCCATAAATTCAGATTATTCTACCTAAAGCCAGACTCACACCTGTGTGTTAACGCACCTACACGTTATGTTGCAGAGTGTTGAGTTGGGCAATGCACCCCAACATGGCCAAAATTGCTATTTTATTTTATAATAGCAATTTGTGTGTTGTTGTGCCCTGCAGTGTAGATTCATTGCCTTGTTTTATTAGGATGCCATTTAAATTGACTAACACTAACACACCACCAAAAAGTGTGATCCTGGCCTAATCTGTACAGCTATTTTCTTATCATTAGTAGCATTGACTACGCACACATCCAGGTTCAGCAGATTGTTGCTCTTCTTTTGTTTTTCCATTGTTATTTCACATGCCTTTTATATTTTCCATAAATGCATGATCCAGCAAACATAAAAGTAACAGGCTGGAACAAACTGTAATCTACCAAAGGTGCTTACATGGGGACACTTTGCCACTTTTTCTTTCATAAGGCCTCCTGAAAGTGTTATAGTTCCCCCAACACCTATGGGGATACACAGAATATAACTGGATACTAACATTTATAGGTAAAGTTGATCCAGGGAATATCTGATTGCCTCTCAGGGGATCAGGAAGGTATTTTTTCCCCTGCAGGAGCAAATTGGATCATGCTTTGCTGGTTTTTTTGCCTTCCTCTGGATCAACTGTGGGTGTAGGAATATAACTTTTTTTTTTTAATGGTTGAACTGGATGGACGTTTCTCTTTTTCAGCCAGACTAACTATGTAACCTATGATTGCTAAGCAAATTAATTTGCATATAATTGTGGAGAACAATTGTAACCGTTTCCCGACTGCCCTATAATAGAGCTACTGCTACAGGGCAGCAGGGCAATCACGTACATATATGTGATTTTGCATTTTCGGGTAGGTGGCACGTGCTGTCCTACCCACGCCACCATTGGCAGCTTTAGATGTCGATCACCGGGTCCTGGCGAGGAGATACCCACCAGCACCCGGCGATCGCTGAGGAACAGTGACAGGGGAGAGACTTGTATGTAAAAACCACAGGTCTTTCTCCTTCCAGCAAGGACATGCTGCTGTGTACTTCTCTGCACAGCAGAGAAATACACAGTAGCATGTTTACATAGTAAAACACACACACAGTTAAACAGCACACAGAACATACAGTAAAACACAGCACGGTACACAGTTAACCCTTTGATTTCTCCAGATGTTATCCCCTTACTGCTCAGTGTCATTAGTACAGTGTCGGTTCTTTTTATTAGCACTGATCACTGTATTAGTGCCTTTGGGATGTCAGAGGCAGTTAGTCAGTTCCCTCCCAGTGTCAGAATGCCCACCACAGTCCCGTTATAAGTCGCTGATCGCCGCCATTACAAGTATAAAAAAAAATTTAAATTGCAGTATATATACCGCCATTTGCAAACGCTATAACTTTCAACCAATTAATTTATATGTATTGGTATTTTTGTTTTAGCAAAGACATGTAGCAGAATACATTTTGGCCTAAATTTATGATGAAATTATAAAGAAAAATAGTTTTTTTTACTGGGTATGTTTTATAGCAAAAAGTAAAAAATAAAGTTTTTTTTTTTTAAATTGTCAGTCTTTTTTTGTTTATAGCACAAAAAATAAAAAAAACTCAGAGCTGATCAAACCCCACCAAAAGAAAATATAAACCAAAAATGTGCTGACTGCTCATCCAAACATATAAATGAAATAAAATAATCCTCCATTAATCCCATGCAAGATAGATCCACACTACAATAAAAGTCCAACTCCCAAATCACAGAATGTCCAAATTAGTGCGTTTAACAATCACTTTCCAAAAGACGTGCTTGTGCTCAAGATGCTTCCCTTGCTCACCTTTAAGTTTGACCTGCAAATTATAATAGGTCAGATGCGTTTTTACAGAAGTGAATACTCTCATGTGGCGACGAATCCAGAATTTCTTCACTCCAAAAATGTGTATATAAAAAACAAAAAGATATATTGTAGTGCAACACCGTTTAAATTAAAGCTAATGGTTGAGTGAATGAAACATACGCACTCATATTACAGCAAAACATACCATGCTCTACAGCAGTGTTGTAAAGTTTTCACTTCATCCAACATATACAAAAGTGCTTCCATCACCAATGAGTGTGCCATGCACTCACCTTCTGCATTGATCCATTTATCATATAGGTCATAAGCACTATAAACGTTGGTAAATCTTTTGCTTGTCCACCGCTATCCCTTAGTAGCTATTTCCTTGCTACTGGCCCTTTAAGAGACTGGATTTCAGCTTCCCACTGGAATGGTAAATGCTCGGAGGAAAAGAGGACAAATCATAGTGCAACCCCATAAAAAATATTTCCTTTATTAAACTATTAAAATCCACTCACAAAGTGCACAACAGTGAAGGCATGTAATTCCAATGACAAAAATGGTTCCTCTCACCACACTTCCTGGTTTGCACAATACCGGAAGTGACGCTACAAGGCTCCACCCACGTGTTACGTCACTGGCTGTGTGATTTCCTCAGGGGAAGGGGATTTCAGAGGATTTATCTTGCATGGGATTACTGGAGGATTATTTTATTTAATTTATATATTTGGATGAGGAGTTAGCGCACACACATTTTTGGTTTATATAAGTGAGAGTAGACTTAGTGAGTGGGTGCAGCAATCTTACTTTGTTTATTTTTATTTAGGGTGTAGTAGCACACGAGTGTGAGCCTTTTCACCTCCGAAAGAAAGCTCTATTTGTGGGGGAAAAAAAAGACATAAATTTCATTTGGGTGCAGAGTTGCATGACCGCGCAACTGTCAGTTAAAGTAACGCAGCGCCGTAATGCAAAAATTGGCCTGGTCAGGAGGGGGGGGAGTAAATCCTCTGGAGGGTAAGTGGTTAAGTAAAGATGCGTGAAATAGAATTTACAGGCATCAGAATGAATATGTTAATTTTTATACTACCATTTAAAATAAACTTTTATATGGGCAGCACAGTGGCTAAATGTTTAGCACTTCCGCCCGGCAGCACTAGGGTCGTTGGTTCATATCCCAACCACAGCACCACCTGCCTGGAGTTTGTATGTTCTCCCTGTGCCTGTGTGGGTTTCCTCCGGGTACTCCGGTTTCCTCCCACACTCCAAAGACATGCTGGTAGGTTAATTGGAACCTGTTTAAATTAGCCCTAGTATGTGTATGTATAAATGTGAGTTAGGGACCTTAGATTGTACACCCCTTGAGGGTCAGGGACTGATGTGAATGTACAATATATATATGTAAAGCGCTGCATAAATTGAAGGCGCTATATAAGTACCTGAAATAAATATGTAGTTAAGCTGAAAGGGATGACCATAAACATGGAGATAGAGATGTTCATTATTCCCAGGGTGTGAAAAGTAAATAATGAACATGTAGACTTCCTTACATTTTTGCTATGACATTTGCACATCCCTGGTTTGGAAAACGTGCCCTTGTTGGCTTACAGTACTAGTAGTTAGGTTTTCCCATTCATTTGGATACATGCAATTAACACCATACACTGTCCTTTTCTAAGTCTTAAATGAAGCAGCATCAGTGAAATTAAAGGGTGAACACATTTAGCACTTTATCCAGTCACGGCCTTGGCTTGTGTGATTGTTGCTCTTGCATAGCTTCCTAATGGCAACCACATGTTGTATGAGTCAAATTGTTGAGTATATCATTAGCACAGTGGGAGATGCCAGCTTTACTATCCTGCACGCTAGCACCTTGGGATGTCTAAACCAGGTGGCAATCCCTAAAAATGTCCACTTTTGGTAGGTTGTAAACTATAAAAATATTTGGGACACAAAGCAAACATCTGAATAGACAGAGAAGTCTTAAAGTAGACCCAAATTAAAATGTAATAATAATAATAATAACAATAATATGGATTAAAGGGTATGTCCAGGTATTTTAATTTTTTAGTTCTGGATAGAGTGGGGAAGGATTAAACTAGATTAGAAACAATTGATAGAAAGATTTCCTTTTACTAATATAACGAATATAACTTCCTCTGGATCAACTGTGGGTGTAGGATTATAACTTTTTTTTTTTAATGGTTGAACTTGATGGACTTTTGTCTTTATTCAGCGAGACTAACGATGGAACTATTACTATACTTAAATGGATACTAATATTTATAGGTAACGTTGATCCAGGGAATACCTGTTTGCCTCTCGGGGGATCAGGAAGGATTTTTTTCCCCTGCAGGAACAAATTGGATCATGCTTTATTGGGTCTTTTTTTGCCTTCCTCTGGATCAACTGTAAGTATAGGGTAGTGTATATGGAGGTGTTCTGTGTGTGTGTGTTTTTTCCTCTGTTGGTTGAACTGGATGGCCTTTTTTCAACCTGAATAATTACAATCTTGAGAAAGGAGCGCATGGGTCATTTCTGGTGATGTCACCTCACCGAGCGCTGTGATCGCTTGCACTTCAACTGCATTCCAACCCTAGGTTTGGGTCCCCCTCACCATCCTGGCAGCCTGAGGCCGAGAGGGCTATACATAGCAGTGGCAGGGATACCTCGCCAATGTACAGACTCACAGATGTACCTGCTTTTTACTACTATCATATGAGTGCATTTCAACTTTGTTTTTAATACAAATTCATGACAATCTATACTCAGAGGTGCTTTCCTTCTTTCTCTTCTGATTAATTATGTAACTACTAACCATCCACGTTGAAAATAGTATCATCAGACAAGAAGTGAGAGAAAATCACTAAAAGCAACAGGTACAGAAATAAAAGTATTTTTAATGTAAAGTAGTAGTATATATATATTTTTTTTTTCCTGCCTTTGTCCATATTACAGATTTCCTCTCACTTTCTGTCTAGTGAATCTGATGTCATTGTGGCACTAAGGGTTCTTTACAGCTGCTTTGCTCTCTGCAGATTGAGTTGCGGTAGGTCGCTTTTCACAGAGCGGTACAAGTGCAGTTATTTTTATTTTTTTGGTAGCTGAATGGGGTTTATACCAAAAACCTCAAGCCTAGCATTTGTGTGACAACAGGGGGACTGTTTTCCCTCCTGGGAAGCCAAGCATCGTGGGCTCAGAAAAAGAATGGTACTCCCTCCTGTACTGCTAGGGGGGTTCATCTTCATGGCTGGTCCATCCCATAGAAGACAGGACAAAGCTGTGAAAGCTATCAGAAGAAATTGGGGCAGGCATCACTCTGTGCACAAAAGACCTACAGTCAGGGTCAGCTGCAAGCAAAAGACTGGTAGATCACGATCTCATCCATGCCTTGCTGAACCGCAACTGGCAGAGCTACGCAGGAAAGTGGTGAGCAGCTAGGAACCTGCCAAAAGTCGGCAAAGGCATTCCCCACCCCCACAGAATGCCCTTTGCTCATGTGCAGCTGTGGGGGAAGAAGCCTCTGCTGCTTATACAGCTAGAGGGTTCAGGCTGCGGAGCGAGAAAAGCCTCTGCCGCCTCTGACAGTGGGGCGAGTTCGGGCTCTTGTCTGAAAGCACCCAAGTTCTTCCCTGGAGTGTATTGTGCTCCCCTCTTCCCCTATGGCCCCCCTCTTCAGTCCATCCAAGGCACTTATGGATGACATCATGTGGGATGGACAAGAGAGGAGGGCTGACTGGAGTCAGCACTAGAACAGTTAGATCTGCCACAGTAGCTTGCAAACACTCTTCATGAGGTAACAAGTTTTGTGACATCCTGAGCCCCTATAGTGGTGTGCCCTCCTAACTCTTCAGTAGTGCCCCCAACACCCTCAGTGATGTGCCCATCCAATGCCCCTGGTGGTGTGCCCTCTTTATACCCCCAGTGTCATGCCCCTGACTCCCCCATACTATTCCTCCTGACCTCTCTGTTCCATGCCTTCCTGAGCCCCTGAGTGCCCCCTGTACTGTGCCAGGCTTCCTGAGCCCCCTTATCTGCCCTCCTGACCAGTAGCATGCCTTCCTGAGCCCCTGTACTGTGCCCTCCTGTGCCATGCTTCTTGAACCCCCTGTACTGTGCCCTCCTGACCCCCTGTAGCCATGCCTTCTTGAACCCCACTGTACTGTGC